TACCTGGATACTGCAGCAGCCCCAGATGGCACTGCTGTGATTAACAGCTGATGGTGTTTAGTCATCACTACTTCAAATCCTGCTGCTGATTCAGCATATTTATGCCAATCTGTCAGTGGACTAGCACTGTGGCTTTCTCCCTCCAACATGCCCACATGGACAGATAAGCACACAGGATACAATGCATCTGGTCTCTGCACATTTACTCTATGTGACAGCATGATCAGACAGGACTGCAGCAAATTCTCCAAAAAACATGCCCAGATAGTGCCAAACCTCTTCATCTTCTAGCCTCGTCTCTCACCTTCTAGCCAAACTAGGCAAAACAACTTGCAGTAACACACCCTATGTACCTTCAGTTACACCCCAAATGCTCTCTTTTCCTCCCAGCACTATCAAATGTTAAGCGCTGCTTCTCCTCGTCCAGCAGAGAACAGGCCAGTAATAGACAGAAGCTCTCCATCCAGGCACTGGAGATGAGAAGTGGGTGGATTTTGGCAGACAATTCCCAATTCACTCTTCAATTTTGTTTTACAGTTTTTCAACACTTATTGATCTTACAATATTATATCATCCATTATTAACTTCCTATCTGGGCAATGTCCAGAAAAAATCTGGTCTGATGTTTCTTTGAGCAAACATTCCAGTTTCACATCGACAATGTTTTTTATTCAGGCACAGATAACCAACGGTCGGTGACCTCCAGGACTGTTGATGTTTTTGCCAGATATTATCAAGCCTTTACCTCTGAATATAGGTGAGGCATGATGAATGCAAAAAAAGAGGGGCAGTAAACATTCAAAGGGTACAGAATAAGATATGCTTGTTTATTTATGCATAAATTGGGTATGTATTTATCTAGATTTTTCAGCTACTCTTCTCCTACACTCACCTTTGGCCAATCAAAAAGATTTTAAAAAGCAAGGCCCAGACATCAAAGTTCTCAAGATAGGTTTAAAAATCAAGGTTTTTATAAAATAAATTAATTATAAATTCTATTTGTCTGACTGTTTAACCTACCTATTGTACACACTTCATGGTTAAACATTTTCTTCAGAATCTCTAAAATTATACATGTTAAGCAGCTGTATTCAGAATATACATATATTATGTTGATTCCAAAGGCAGATTTGAAAGACCTTCCACTAGATATAATCATAAATGCTATACAATCACGACAGTTGCCAATACTTCCCTTATGTTAACCTACTACAACTTATAAGCATGAGTTAAAGCTTAAATTTTAAGAACAGCATAATGCCACAAGCCCACAAAAAGTAAAATCCCTTAGACCTTCCTCTGACCCCATTCTTAACATCAAATTCTTAACCCCACGTTTCTCCCAGCCTCTCAAGTCCCTCAGCAAAGAGGTCAGTCTTGCAACATATCCTTAAGGTCATCAACTTACAATTAGGGTGTATTTTTTCTAGAAAGCAATTTGCAGCCAAAGCCACTGAGGGCAAGACAAGGAGTACCGATACCCTTTTTATTCCCTGTATTAGTTCTTGAGGCCTCCTAAGCAATGAGACTTTTGTAACTACATTGTCAACTTGCTCACTTAACAGTCGGTCTCCTCCAAATAGCTTTTGGACTTTCATTTTGTTTGAATGAAATTTCATAGAGAAGGTGATGAAGCTTCTAAAAGTTTGATAAAAAACTGGTGACTAGTAAAGAAAAATAAGCTGCAGGCAGGGAGAGGAAGGTATAGCTGCAGCTGCTGCTTTGAAGACCATAACTGAAGCAAACATGTATAACATTGCATTTGCATCAGAAGGCACCCATTTCTCTTAAATGTGAAGTTACCCCAAAAACTGCAAAACTTTTTCTTTTTTTTTTTTGCGTCAAGGTGTAAAATCGCTCCACCTTGGTCTGAAGCTATGAGGCATCACAGACTGAAAAAAAGTAAAGACAAGCTAGCCAAGAATTCATCTATAAGCAACTGGAGCCACACATGTGTCTGTTACCTGTACTCTTGTTTAGGAGCAGAAACAACAGCAACTGCAGAGCAGCACAAGCTATGAGACAGATAGGGTCTTGCTCCCTGCATAATTGACTGAGCTGTGTAATTTGATAACCCCAGCCTGTGAGTAAAGTGCTACTGCAGAAGATAGAACAGTCAGCTAGTATAGCAGTCGCTCTCCCAAGAAATCAGAGATATCTGTAAATAGTTATGGCTATACTTTAGGAAAGGAGCAACTGGTTATTGCATATTATCTCCTTTATTTGTCAACCCTCATTTTCTTTTCCCCTTAGAATAAAGTTCTATTTATTAAGCATTTGATACCCTGTTTTTCAAGTGCAGAAAATAAACTCTTTTTGGTGTGTTCTCACAGATTTCTGGAGAGGTTTAGGATGGATGTTTATTACCAAGTCCTTAAAGTTTGAATATGGATCACCTCTTACTGTTGCTCAAGTCAAGCCTTGGTAAAAGTCATAGAGATAAAAAAGCTTTTGAAGAGCTAGTCAAGAAAAATGCCATGTTTGGATAAATATTCCTATTCCTGCAAGCAATCCATTTATAGAAATACCTTCACTAAAACAATACACAAAACTTAGAAGCAATAAATATAAAAACAAAATGCGTATTAAAAAAGATATTAAACTGGATGAGAAATTATAAAAATACATTATACTGACTCAAGTACAACCAATATTTAATTAACTGCTCTAACTGTGCCTGGAATGCTTGTCCATGCTATGCTTTAATAATAGAGTCCAATCTTTCTTTTCCAAAGAAGTCAAAGACAAAACCCGCTACAGTGGGAACAGAATCTTACTTTCACTTCTGCAGTCAATTTTGCAGGGATTGTACATTTTCTAATTTTTATTCATAGTGTTTCTGTTTCATACATAAAAAATACATAAGCCACTGTCAAGAAAATGATCGGTGTCACAATGAACAGCACTGAACAAAAGGAGAAAAAAACCCAATCAATCTGCAAACGATAGACAACTAAGGGAATTATGTTATAAATTACCTAATCTGATGCCTTTCTTCAATATGACTGCCCACTTGAAAAATTAAACAGTATTGTAGGTAATGAATGGGGCTGCAATTTGGCACACAGCAATGATGAGATTATTATTTTTAACTGATGAGATGCATTTCAAATGTCTTTGATTATTTATACAACATTTATTCCACTGCTTTTTTTCAATCTTCCAGAAGAAATTCTGAATTATTATAATGAAATATTATAAAAACATAAAACAATTGCCCTACTGCACCAGAACAGTGGTTCATCCAGCCCAGTATTCATCTCTCACAGTGGCAAAAGACAACTGTGGTTATGAGAAACATATGACATGCCCCCTTTCTGCAAACCGTTCCCCTTGTACTTTTCCAGTATCCAGAATCATTGTACTAGGGATTTAAAAGAGTACTTATCTGCTTAGTCCTTCTAGTATCCACTTATGGACCTGCTATCCACGAACTTTTCTAAGGCATTTCTGACCCTGCTTATACTGTCTGCCTCCACATCTTTCTGCGCAATAAATTCCAGAAGTTCACTACCCATTGCATGGAGACTATTTTTATCCATTTTAAACTGATTCACACTAGTTTTGAGTGCCCCTGGTTCTAATATTGTAGTATTCCCCATTTAGCTTATCTACTACCAGAGAAATCTTAAGTGTGTCCTGAACTGTAAAAGAAAGCCACTGCTTCAGCTTTATGCATTTTAAGATATGATTTCTTAGACACCAGACATGCTAAAAGTTGGATTTTTTTTTTAATAAGGATTAATGAAATGAGGTAAGGGTTAAGGATGATTACCCATTATATTTCCCAATGTTTCTCACAAAAATAAGTCAATGAAAAACTTCAAAGTCAAACATGTAAACTGAAGTCAATTACATAGCTAGCACCTTTTTCTATTAGAAGCTGATCCAACCCTTCAGACCAATCAGGATTTGGAAAATTTCTCATCTGAATCTGACCTTGTCATTTTGGACTCACACTGAATTTTTTTATTTTCTTATTCAGAGTTTGAATTTTGCATTCAAACTTCAGCCACTCCCTGACAAGCAATTACTGCCTTTTAAGAATGTCTTAAACTATCATGAATAAAAGATTTTGAATACACTGAGACAACATCTCCTTTCTTCTTAGCAGAGGATATTGGCGTATCCTGTGAAAGGTATGAATCTTAGTATGTACTGAATTATTTTAATAAATAAAAAAAATTACCAGAAATTCTCTAAAGAAGTCTATGAAGGCTACCACAGCCAAAGAGCACATAAAACTGCTCAGACAGAGAATGCAAAGGCAGCTTTGTGTCACTTCATGACATGCCTAGATTACATCGGTATTAAGCCAGTCAGTCCCATTCTGTGTACCAGTGTGAAATGATGTAAAGCTGATAGAAGTCTGCTCTAAATTTTCTCAAGCTGGAAGAGTAGCAGGTACACACATAGAAGCTATGGACCACTGGCTTGCAAGTGCACCTTGAGCTACATCCCTTTTCCAAACCTAAGTGATGTCCTTGTTTGCCTTTCACTAGTCCTCTGCTAGGTAAGGATCTGTAAAAGCAGGGATAAGGATATATCTGTCATTTGACCACAAACATTTCAGTATATTTTCAGTTCAACTGTTTTTACAGTAAACGGAAAACCAAGATTACATAATACCTGCACACATAAACTGGACCTTCTTAATGCCAGGCTTAGCAGCACACTGTTAGAAGCTAAGTATTTTTCATAGTAAAACACTATTGCACAATGCCTGCTTAAAGAATCACAGACATAGTCCCTTTGATGGGTAGTTCAGAGAGTATTATAAGGCCTACTTTCCTCAAAATCTGCTTAATCACTGTATAATCATTAACTTGCTGTTTGCAAATGTTAATCCAGGGTCAAGGTAATGTCCCTCTGACACAATACTTAAATTTATATAAAACCATGCCCTTTTAGCATTCATTTATAACTTGCTACTCTGATTTAAAAGCACACTACTGACTTTATCAGAGCATGGACAGAAGTGACCTAACACTGCAAACAAAATGCTGCTCCTAGCTTCAGCTTTTTTCCTAACCCTACTGCAGTGCTCTAATGCCCAAAACAAAACAAGCATTACATCTGCAGACTGTAATACCATTGAAACAGATGCAGGAGTGGCCCTGGATTTGGTCAACAGACATTGCAGAGATGGCTATGTTTTTGGTTTATTCCGTGTTGCTGATGCACATGAACTACATCTAGTAAGTACCAATTTAAAGGCTGATTTACACAAGACTGTGATTTTAAAAGAATGAGCCAGATGATTAAAAGCTTATGTTTATTGCTTTTAACAGAGCAACGCTGATGTAACTCAGTGAATCAGCTCTGATTTACACTACCTTAGTATTCATTTGTGCATGATGCATTGTACGTAAGCTTGATTTCGAGCAATGCTGAATGCCTTCTATTCTCTTGGCTGACAGGATGTTGGCGTAAGAGATGCTCTGAACAGCTTTTTACAACACCGGAAATTAATCTGTCCTGTCTGTTGTTAGGTCTCAGATGTTCAAAATTTATATTCTGAGAGTTTCTTTAATCTGCAAATGTCTAACATTAATTAGATCAATGCATTCTGCAAGATAGGTATTTTGTTATTATCTTAATTTTGGAGATAGCTGGATAACTGGAGGGAATGGAAAAAAGCAGAGGTCATCAAAGGAGATGAAAATGCTACTCTGAAAAACAAGGGAAGGGCTGGGTAGAGAATCCGTATCAGACATTTCCTATTTCCTTCCTATTTCTATTTCTGTTTCCTAGAGAGGATACATAAGCCTTTCTCAGTGATTGCCTAAATGCCAAAGCAAATCAATGTCAGAAAAAGCAATAGAATATAAAATTTCTTTAACTAGTAGATAAAAGAGACCAAGTACATACAGGTTTACTAATGCACCCGGCTACCTTTTAGCTGCTTGATTATGAAACTAGAATCCAGGCACACATGCATTGTTTAAGAAGTGTATTACACATCTCAGTATGGCAACTGAAAAAACAGGCTATTTTTGATAAAGCTGCTTAAGACTCCCTGTTAGGACAAAAAAAAAGCTCAGAAAGTGACCCAAAGCTCAAATTCCTATAGGTCCTCAGGTATACTTTCAAAAAACCTGATGGATTATTTTGTTTTTCAAAGACAAGGATGTGGCAAGTGATGCTATTGGCTTTTATACAACAGCCAGGTAGGTAAAGGGCCCATCTACAAAGCAATCAATCTTCCTCAGCATTAAGAGATTTAAACCCTCAGGTCTCCCATCCTTGAAGAATGCTGCTGCTGGGCAGCTATGTGTGCCACTGCTGTGGAGTTGGAGCCACTGGGCAGTAAGACATGTAAAATTCATTGGATGAATGAGAAAAATCTTCTGAAAAGAAAAAATCTCAGTGTTTCTACACTTTAACCAATTATTGACTATATAAACTATAACTATTCCATAATTTGGAATAGGGACCAGAGCTGAGGATTCACACTTCCAGATGAATGCTATAACTACTAGACTACCATGTTTTGCTTTGTACCCTTAATGAATTTTGCTGTTTTTGCAATCCAGGACTTCCGCTATCACATAGAGTCTACAAGAACAGAAAAAACCCTTCCTGTAAGGTCTCTGTATCTTCTCAGACCCAAAGCTACCAGGTGTGGTCTCCTGCATACTGATCATATATGCTATTGTGCAAGAAGTTATGTTGGCTCCACTGCCAAGATGACATTAGAAAAATAATATTCAAAAAAAGATCAGAACATCATTTTATTTTATTTAGTGAACAGCACATTTTACAAAAGACTATCTTACCTATCTTACCTTTCTGTTCAGTGCAATTCCATAAATATAAATCAGAAAAAAAATAGTCTTTCTTACTGTCTCTGTTCTCTGTCTGCATTTTACTAATATGTTGACTAGCAGCTTGAGATTATTGGGATTTATAAAATAAAATAGAAATACTAACTACCCCTAAGCAGAAAATACTCATGGGGCTAGTGGGCAGGATGGGTGTCCAGGACAACTATATTCTTTTCCTCACTCTGCCATTGAGTAACATGTGTCTTTGTGCAAATCACCTAACCCCTATTTTTAAGATAGAGACAATGCTAAGATATATGCATACAGAAAAACTAGTGTTTAACACGACACTGGTGGGCTCTCACTAATAAAATTATTACACTAGACTGCAGTAATTCTTTCTCAAGGTCTCATCTGTACAAAAACACTCTGAAAAAGGAATCTGAATGGATGAAATTTCATAAAGCCTGAGGACACTTATTCACAGTGAAGGGCTTTGCATTATTTTATCTAAAAGACAAAATAAAATACGCCTGTGTTCATTCTGTATGTCCATACAAGGGTTGCATGAAGTTTAAATAATCCATTCTAAATGTGAATTGAGATACAAATACAAAACTGTTCCTGTGGGCCACAGATAATTCTTAACACTACATCCCATTACACTGGCAGCCAATTTCAAATACTGATTCTCCATCCTATTTGCTCAGGAGACAGAACATACTGTAAGAATTTCAGAGCTAAGGCTCCTGACTTTGTAGGGATTATTACAGCTTTGTTGCATCACTGCCTGAATAAACTGAGCAGGAAGCGAAGTTCTGAAAGAGTATCTGGTCACTAAGGTCATTTGAAATGGATGTAGCTATATAATTGGCTGCCTAGACAACCGATTTCCTAATAGACCAGTATGTTCTATGTGAAAATCAGAAAGGGAATGGCCACTTTTTAACATGGGCATTTTCCGTAATTGGTGGATGCCAGATTAACAACAGACTTTTTTCACAGGTTCTCAACAAAAGGATAAGAGGCAACAGTTGTTGAGTTGCAGGAAGGGAAATTCTGACAGGCCAAAAACAAATTATGGAGAAAGTGGTTAAGTACTGGAATGGCCCAAAGAGGTTGTGGAACATCTGCTTTGGTGATATATAGAACTCAGCTGAATCTAACTTTGAAGTTAGCTTTGCCTTGAGCAAGTGGCTGGACAAGATAACCTCCAAAGGCCCCTTCCAGCCTAAACCCTTTCTACGCTTGTCAGCTCAGAAAAACCTTAATAGGGAACTGGGGAAGCTACATTAAAGATTAAACATATCTACTTCAAAAAAAGTTTCTTTCAGACCAAACTTCTTGTATACAAACTCTTTTTCACCTGCACTTCTCTTCCAGGGAAATTTGTCAGTACTCTACTTAACTTTGGATGTGCTGGAAACTGAATGCTCTGTATTATCCAGAAGACACTGGGAGTCTTGTGAATACAGTGACATCTATTCCATGGCAAGTAATGGCACCCAGGCAGAGTCATATAGTTCATTACCTTGATCTTCATCTGAACTGCTCAGAAATTTCTGTGTCACAAAATCTCTAAATGAAGACTAGGTTTCAACATGGTTCACTATAAAAGAAAATCTATTGAATTCTAGAGTTGTTAAACATAAGCTAAAGGTTTGGAAAAGGGTTGACTCCTCAAATAAATGCAGCTTCATTTAATTAGTTGTCTCAAAGGAGCTATACTCCCCATTCCACTGCAGGTAGCAGTACTGATGTTTTAAGACTAATTCGCAGACAACTAAAGGGCTAACTAGAAATTTTTTTTTAAAGCATGTTCCCAGTATATTAACTAGAAATACCAGTGCTATATTTTGTCAGTTTTCTGTCATAGCATTTGTAGTATGACAATGTAGAATATTCGTAGTGTCAGTACACATATGATACGTAGCAATACTTGTCCTTTATTGTTGCAGTCCAATGACTGGGATGGGAACTACCAGTCCAAAACTTTATTTAAATAGGAGAGTTGTGATACTACCACACAGGACAAAGCAGGAAGGCCATGAGGAGAGAAGGCTTTTACTCTTTTTAATAAGATGGGGAAAAAGAATGGAAGAAAAGGTCTATCCTTATGTAACCTTGAGTATCTCTGACATCCTAACTTCCCCTGCAAGCTAGTATTATCTTACTGTAAATAAGTATTAGAATGACTGGTTCTAAGAGAAGGCTGGTTTAGTTTTCCATTGCTTACTCGGTCATGCAAGCAGAGAGTTAAAATAAAGGCTCTTGTGGAGGGAGATCATATTTTATCTGAACACAAACATTCCATTAATTACCACATCTGTTATTCTTAGAAGTACTGTACATTAAAAGGAGGCATAATTTCTATGATCACCTATATCCAATTAAATCCAGTGAAAATAACATCATAATCATATATTTTTTTATCCTCTCAGGACTTTGGGCAATGTAAGATTGTCACATATATAAGCCAGCTGCTGAAGAAACCTCAACTATATGGATTTAACTGTACATTAAGTCCAGGTAAAATAACCACTGTTGTAAGCCAATGCATACCTCAAACCAGCTCTAGTACCAAATTACAAGTCTCTGCACTACTAGTGTATGGTAACTGTAACAGACTCATTCATCTGCTTGCAATTCATATTTTAGATAATTCAAATGGAATGTTAAGAATGAGTAATAGAATTAAGGTTACCCTACTCTTCTAAAGCAGACTTTATTAATGTCAGATGATACCACCATTCCGGTTCACCAAAACATGATAATGAATATCAGAAAAAAAGTAAACTTGGAAAGAATGCCCATTTGGGGTGATAGCCTAAGGTGTAGCTAAAAGATTAATGAAAATATTCATTTTCACAAGTTTGGGTTTTTTTCATGTTACAGGACAAACCCGTATTTGTGGAGTGAGGGATAGGTATTTAACTTCTAAGGAAATACTTGCATTTCAGTTTCTTATTGTGAGTTCACATCAACAGCACAGGCACACTCCCAAGAATTTTAATATCCATTGCAACATTAGTAAATTTTCTGTTTTCACAGTTCCTCCTGATTTATTGGAGTGCAAAGATTGTCCTGTGAAAGTTGAAATCTTAGAAGTCACAAAGCAACATAAAAATATTGCTGCAAAGACCCTGGAGAAATTCAACAGTGAGGGTAACCACACAAACTACTTTGATGTGGACAAAGTTGAAAAGATTTTAAAGCTGGTAAGTGGCATTTTGTCCTAGAATTACTTATAAATGACAACATTTTGTGAGTGGCTCCAAAACCATGGAACCAGAACTCAAACCCTTCTAGGATCAGAAGTCTTGCTTGTCACCTCTCAGAATAAATCATCTGCTTAAAATCGAAGGTCCTACTTCTGCAAAGACTTGTTGTCAACTTTAATTTAAGCATGTGAAAGCAAAAGTATTTCTCATCTGCTAAAAAACCTATGGCAGTATGATGGCAATCAAAATGTCAGAGCCTTCTTTGTGTGCATATTTTTATTTTGAATGCCCATTTACCTATCATGTCGTGACATACAAGAGTTTATTTACTACTGACCAGAGTTCTCCAAGATGTACAGTCATGTGTATTATCACAGTCATACATTCTGTCAAATGAAGTCAGATAACTTCTTACTCTTAGAATACTTAGCACATGGGTACAACACAAAATGGAACACAACATCATTTTGACTCTCTACTGCAGACGAAATCAGCACTCTAAGAGCTCTGAAGGACAGGAGGCAAATTTGTATCTGTGCTGTACCTCTTGAAGAACTACTGGCTCTGGTAAATAACTCCACCTTTGAGTGATGTCAATATGAAGACTTATCCTTTCAGTGATTTGAAGTGTAACTCTCATAGCACCGCAATTTCTTGTTGGTAGATATTGGAGACCTTCACTAAAACAGCACAGGATCATTCTGTCAACACATGTGTCAGTTCAGGACACCTCTGTAATGAGGTCCTATGGCCCCTACCATAATAGATGTTGTTCGTGGACACAGCCTAAATTATCGCATGCCAACCTCAGAAACTTGACAGTGATCTACACTGTAGTCCCATGCAGGATGTATCCCTACTCCCATTTAGCAAGTGCCTGTTTTCAGATTGCCTGGATTCATGGATTCCTCCCTAAGTGCTTTGTCTTCACACTTCACTGTCTTTAGCTACAGTGACAATTTAGATTGCACCACTGGATTTCAACAGACTGCATGACACTCAGAAAATATGAATTATAATAAAAAATACACTCTAAAGTATATGTATCTGATTTAGTTAAACTGGTGAAACTTGTGTGCACACACATGCTATGGACACCTTCAACACAGACGTGAAATAAACTACTACTACAGCTGGAAATTAAAATGAAACACCTCTTTATGGATTTTAATAGGATCATAAAGGCCTTCTCCCATGTTCTTATGGAGTAATGCCTTCTCTATGAATAATGCCACTGACAACAGACAAAGCAACAATCTCACAGTAACTGGCAGAATTTCATCCCAAATTAACATCAGCACTGTACTACTATGCACTCCCATCACTGGAAAGGCATGGTTGCCATCCAGTAGATCTCCATATTTTCACAGGAGCAGAAATTTAGGGAGAAGACTCTAAGGACATTAATTCCTAAAAACACAGGCTGTAAAAGTAACAGATTTTATAACATACACATACTAGACAAAGAAATAAAGCAACTGTTCCTGGAACTCAGAAAGTTGTGAGGCAAGTAAGGTATAAATTATCTAATCAATTTTCTTTACTGAATATGCGTATATCTATGAACATTTGAACAGCACAGGTAATGAAAGCATGAATAGACACAGTTTTGACAACAATAAGAAGTATCGTTGCTTTTAAAATTACAGGACTTTAAATACACCTATTTACCACATATTGTTTTACCTCTTGGTTTCAGACTGCCTCCCATGAAGGTCATATTTTAGGATTCTCTGTAAAAGAGACCAACTGTTCCAAATCCACACAACAAGCAGATCAGGCATTGGAATGTGATTTTCTGGATGACTGGCATGCTGTAAGTAAAGTTTTAGAATGAGAACTGATACAGTGGGTAGCACCAAGAAGATCTTCCTACAATATTTCCAAGTGTTTCTTATAAGCATGCACCCAAACTCAAAATTAAAAATCCAGCATGTCCAAGTCCAGATCCTAATTTTACAGCTGCTCCTTTTTATTCTATAAGGAGTCACTCTAAACTCATAAATCTAAATGTAACTGGAGTCTGGCACATTACAGATGTAGAGGTGAGCTTTTCAGTTTGGATCTGGCTTCCACATTCAAATTGTGGCCATTTCCTAATAAATCATTCATGCTATTTTCATAAAAAGTTTTACACTAATTTGAGTCATAGATCTTGAAAAAAATACATGTATTATGTCATCCCAGTGAGCCCAGGGTTACTTTTTTTTCATTCAGGCTTGTCTGAATGAAAAAAACATTGTCTGAACATGAGCCAGCAGTGTGCCCAGGTGGCCAGCAGCATCCTGGCCTGTATCAGAAATAGTGTGGCCAGCAGGAGTAGGGAAGTGATCGTGCCCCTGTACTCGGCACCGGTGAGGCCGCACCTTGAATACTGTGTTCGGTTTTGGGCACCTCACTACACGAAGGACGTTGAGGTGCTCGAGCGTGTCCAAAGAAGGGCAGCGAAGCTGGTGAGGGGGCTGGAGAACAAGCCTTATGAGGAGCGGCTGAGGGAACTGGGGTTGTTCAGTCTGGAGAAGAGGAGGCTGAGGGGACACCTCATTGCTCTCTACAGCTACCTGAAAGGGGGTTGTGGTAAGGTGGGTGTTGGTCTCCTCTCCCAGGTAACTACCAATAGAACAAGAGGAAATGGCCTCAAGTTGCGTCAGGGGAGATTTAGACTTGATATTAGGAAAAATTTCTTTACTGAGAGGGTGAATAGGCTGCCCAGGGAGGTGGTGGAGTCACCATCACTGGGAGTATTCAAAAAACATGTAGATGTGGCACTTTGGGACATGGTGGTGTTGGGTTGATGGTTGGGCTTGATGATCTTAAAGATCTTTTCCAAACTTAATGATTCTGTGATTCTGTCTGCAGACTACTATGAAAGTACTCTCCTCACCCCACCTTCTCATTACAATAATAGTCTACACGGAAGAAACAACTAAGCAAGATCATAATTTCAGAATAAATTATTCCCCAGAAATGAAACTGAAGGAGTGACACAAAAATATGAGAAAAAACCCAACATGTAGAACTTTTGTCTCATCTACACCCGTTTTCTTCTCTGGCTCTTTATGCTTCAAAAGACTGGAAAAAGTTGTGAATGAACTGGTAGTGGAGGCAAAAGTGCACTAGAATGAAGCACAAGCCAGATAGCTAGAGGTTTTAAATTCTGTTCTCAATGCTGCCACCACTGGAGTGTGTGTGTAAAATGCTATTAACATTTTTAACCATTGATCGTAACAGGCTACTAATGGCCCAAACATATATCAAGATAAAGCATCCACTACAGAGAGCATACCCAGAACCCCTTGCCTGAGTTCTGTGCTCTTTCACATGAGCAATTCCATGCACAACGACTGGACAGCAGGTGAAAGTCACAGCTAATAGGATGCTAAGGGAAGTAATGCTAAAAGATTACAACAAATTACTTTTCAAAAAACAAATATGGAGGAAAGCTCTACCTTGAGCTTTGTGTGAAGCAGCATAGCTGCACATGTCTGTTTTTGAGGACTTCGAGCAAAATTTCAGAACAGCCTCATCTGAACAGATGTTTGACATGCAAAGACAGAAAAAAGGAATAAAAATCAGTCACCCACAGGGTACTTCTTTTGGAGACATCAGTAGCTGACCGATTTCTTACAGACATCAAAAGAGAAGTAAGATGAAGAGTAGTAGCCCTCTAGATGCACATGGCGAAGTGGTCTTCACAGTCAAAAACACTAAAAAATGGCATCTATTTCAATCATTATTAATCACTGGTAAGAAAGCTCAGGATCTAGCTAGGTTCTATAAACATACTTAGGTATTGAAGGAACTAGTCTAACTTTTAAAAAGTTATACTTTCAGTAGCTTCTACTAACTCCATGACAGGAACCCAGATGTGCATTGTTGGTTTTTTTTGTTTCTTTTGCTTAGCACATGGGATTCTGTAAGGCAAGCATAATCAGTGACCCAGATGAACCTGACAGAACAGATATAAGCTGTGAAATCTACCATCCCTGGGTAGGTACTCACATACTGAAATGTCTCTGGCTATCACGCAGGCTACAGCAACCTCACTTAGTCCAGACTGACAGATGATTGTAATGGTTGTTTATGTCCCTTTATTATTGCCTGAGTGTGATGCAGCACATTAGGACAGACTGGCTTTTGACTGCTAGGTCAATCAGAGGATGAATTAAGAGTGAAGCTGTCCGTACTGCTCCCTCCAAGGGTGTCTTCTCTCCGTCCAGTCATCCTCCTCAGTTACAATGAGTACAGACAGGCAAACAAGTTCAAAGGAATTTTAGAAAGCAAGAGGAGTGGAGATGTTCTTTATCATATTTGGTATTCCAGTTTATATTACAACTGTTACTCCAGTGTGGGTTTTATTTTGTTTTGATCTGTCACAAACTTTGCTCAGGTGGCTATAAAATTTCACTTTGTTATTGTGCAGTATTTCCAGATTATTTTCAGTAATTTGGCATTTTATCATCTACTCCTCTTCTATCTTGAAAAAAACACAGTTTTTCCTTACAGATCACTGGAACTGCAAATGCAAACCTACTAACTCCCACTTCTCTTTCTCACCACTTTCTTCTGCCCTATTAACATCCCACTTAATACTTCCTCCTCTGGTGTTTTTATAAACAGCAGCATGACTATGGGCAAAGATGCAGATATTCAACTCTGGGACAGCCACACAGACATCCCCATCATCATTTTGGTCACAGACATCATCACAGACATCATCACAGACATGGATGTCCACCCTCTTCTCAGTCCAGACCTGAAGACCCTGAGCATAACTATAGTTTCAATGAAGAACATCAAGACAGCCATGAAGGACCTGCTCTTTCTCCTTGCCACCACGGTGGACTACATCACCACCTTCACCCTCCACACCATTGTCCTCCACCTCCTCCCCATGGTAGACTACATCACCACCCTCCTCCTCCCCATGAAGGACTACATCCTCCTCTCCAAGAGGAACCACAACATCCCCCTGTGGCTCCTCCTCCCCATGACAAACCTCATAATCGTCCTTTTGGTCCCCACTGCGGATCACACTGTCCTCCTCCCCTTCCTCATGGATCACATCACCACCATCTTCCTCCCCACCGTGGACCACATGACCTTCCTCCTCCAGGACACCATCCTCATCTCTGTCATTACTATTACAGACATCACTGCAATAAGAGAAGCATATTGGGAAAGTACTTTCCATTCCAAATAACAGGAGCGGTCTATCGCATTCCAGTCCTAAATCAGCAGTATTCTCTCACACCCCCCACTGCAAACTTTCCTGAGCTATCCCAAAGCAACCCTCACTCCTCCAGCACTGGTGAAGGTATTCCATTCACTGGCTCAAGTCTAAAGGAGATGCCAGGAAGTCCAGATTTTCCAGACCACCCTACACAATCAAAGTCGTGCCCAGGAAACTCCAAACTTGTTCTTCCAAAAATTATGCCTTTATTTCCACATAGCTCCATGGCAGAAAATCCTCCTACATGACCCCAGAGAAAGATGTTCCTGGCTTGAGAGATGTAGGGCCAATGACAGTGGTACAATGAATGAAAACAGCATGTGGAGAACCGGAAAGTGCATGCTATTTTATTTCTAGGGAAGAGAAGTGTTGAAAATAATAATTAAGACAAGTTTTCCAACTAGCCTCTTGATCCCAGCTATCTCAGACTCCACTATAACTGAAAGGCTCAAAATTTTGGGCCACTCAGATAATGTGAATGGGTACAAATCTCTCCAGCAAACAATGTTCCTTTAGTTCTAAGAAAAGGGAAAATTCCCTAATAGTGAAACCTATCATCTAAAATCTTTCATTTTCTCATAATTATAATGCACTTCTCTGAGGAAATCTGACCTAGAGGAAATTTGACCACCTTCCATAAAAAATGATCCATGGCACTACATTCATGCTTTATAAAGATTCAAAGAAAATAAACATATGTAAGCATTTTTTTTCTTCACAACATTGCCAAAGTTTTGTCTTTTTTGTTACTATGGATGTTTAGCTGCACAGTAAAAATCCATGAGGCATACTCTAGCATAAGTTGTCTAATGGTGGTTGGGTTACCAGCATTATCTAGAAAAGGTCTGAGAATAGTTAATGACTTGTAGTGTAATACTGCAGGGTGGCCTCCACAGGTACTTCCATTGCTACAGTTGCTGGTGGTGATACACCAGAAATACTGCATTCAAGGACAGCCCTTTTCAAGTAGTTCATAATTGCTCTCAGGGGAAGAGAAAAGCAGATGCATGTAATAACTCTTTAATGTAAATGTTTTCTTTACCACTGAACCTTCCTCACTGGAAACTGAGTTGGGAGGAGCAGGAAGAAAGAATACTGGTGTCTCTTTGTACTCTAGCCCCCATCAAAGTAAAGTCCATTCAGACAGACCTGGGACCCCAGTGACTTAGTTTAGAACAGTTACCTCATAAGCAAGAACATGGGATTAATCTCAAAAAACTAGTAATTTTGTCCTCAGAGTAGCTTTTTAATGGCATAAAGTAAAATACAGCGTGAGGGCTACATTGAAGAAAAAGAAACAAAATGGGGACAGTATTTTGTGTAACTGAGTGAAGGTTGCCTAATTTTTAAAAGAGCATTATCATGTAGGAACAACCTTATTTCTGGCACAGTTTATCCACAAGGTCTCTAAAGTGCACTTTCGTTAATCAAAACTTGTAGCAAGACACAGCCGGAACACTGGACCTGAGGCAATGCCAAGGTGTTCACAAATTCAAAGCAAAGCTCTTTGGTGCTCAACACTGGAAACAAGCACCAGATGTTCCCAGCCAGCTCTAATTCTGGTTCTGCCAGACACAGGCAGCATTACTTAATCCCTTGTTCTTGGGCATCACTTTCCTTATCTGTAATGATAACAAAACATTATGGAGACTGACTAATCCATGGTCCAAAGGCAGTCTCCACATGGCAGCAAAGATGGACCCTTCCAACAGTAGTATAAAGGACAAGGTTTATCAAGTGTTATTGAATAGTTATGTGACATTCAATGATATGCATCTGTCAAGACTTTTTTCAAACATGTTCTGACTTCTCAGAACTTTTAAAGTCTGAGCACTAAACAGATCTGTAAAATTTATAGGGCTGTTGTCCAGAACCAGAACTTCATTGCCACTGTGACCTTCTTGTGTGTTTTATTTAAGCCTTCTAAAATTCATTCTTAGTAGCAGTGTAGATGTTAAGACGAGAAGCCAGAAAGCTACAAATATTTTGCCTTCTCTTTTGTTCAGGGGCCACCCTGCTTAGTCTTAAACCTGTCCCCAGCTGCAGCCATTTAGCTTGTTATCTTGATGGCAGGTGGATAACCTTAGTGTCATTCTGGTGACCACGCAAAGTTTATTTAGATAAACTCAGAAGTTTATTTGCAGTATAAACAGGGTATGATGAGAATCAACCAACCCCAGCAACCCACTCATTCTGTTTACTCAGCTATTGCTCCTGAAAAACAGAAGAGGTGACCATAAACCCTGTCAGGCATTCCCTTTCCATTGGATTTTTAAAGAGACTTCTAATTCAGGGGGCCTTTTTTGTCCAGTCATGAAACTTTTCATTGTACTAGCACTCTGCTGTAGCTTTTTCTCTAGCAGAGCTACCCCTCTTCCATTTGAGTTTTCGGACTGTGATGACCCTGATGTCTTTAAAGCTGTTGACACAGCACTGAAGAAATACAATGGAGACAGAGGAACTGGTAATCAATTTGCTCTATACATGGTGATGGAAGCCAAGAAAACTGTAAGTAGACTTTGAAAGAAAAAAAAAGTTGGAATTGTTTATACACTCTGAATCAGATTATATCCATCTCATTCATAAGAGAGCAAGCATGACAGCAAAGTGTCTTCCAAAAATGTTTTAAAAAATCAAGAAAATGACTTGCACAGTAAGATACTCATTAACATGACAAGCATGGTTGTATATTATGTTCTTATCAACAGAACTATGTGTGCTGGTGAATTGCTTATTAATGCAGGGACTAAAGAATAGAAAACTTCTATCACTAATACAATTTGTCTTACTAGTCCATTCTGTTTTCTCCTTTCTCTCTGGGGAATTCTACCCCTTTCCATCATCAGTAAGGTTTTCAGATCAATGGCAAAAGCATACTTACTTAAAACCCTAAATATTATCTTGACTTGGGAAGAGCTGGTATCACACACAAAAAAGAATGACCTGATAAAATTTGGCAACGCTCTGAATAAATTGTTTGTGACTATTATTTGATTGACACTAGTCCTGAGTCACAGATCTATCTAAAAGCACTAGGTGGTATTTTAGTCAAATAGAGTGTCAGTTAAAATTACAGTAGAAAAAAAGAATGAAACATGATCCTTTGCCTGGAGTCCTTCTGTATAACATTAATCTAACAGAAGGGTGTTTACCTCTGAGAGGCATACAAAGATGATATTACCATAATAATGACAAGCATTATTTTACTTGAAAACACCATTAGCATTTTTTTCTACTGGATTGGATTTTCAGATGTAAAACACAAGAAATGCAGTGTCAGAGAGAATATTTTGCACTCCAAAATCACAAGACACTTCCACCCAGATAGAAACTGACCTCAGAAAGGGGACATGAATTGCTAAATGCCTTACAGTAAACTACCCACATGTCCTGGCACCTATGCTCTGGTTTTCCTGTTTTCAAACTGGACAGATACTAGTTTCAGTATATTATCTTAAACAATGGTCTATTTTTAAGAATACGTATTTATTGCAATTATTATTCATCTTTCCTTTTCTTAAAAGATCTGAGGTGGAAATCAATTATTACTTTGAATCATTGATCTGACTATGATGTTAAGTGAAAAATAAAAGGAATCTGCAATAGAGATTTCCTCATATTCGATACTCTTTTTCCAAGAAGAGTATAGATTTTACTCATTGCTAGTCTCACAATGCTGAATGCATTAATTAAATAGCTGGTTATTACATATTCATGTATATTCATTATTGATAAGGCAATAAAATATAAAAGCTGACTGGTGAAAGACTGAACCTGCCCCAGTTAAAGGCATAGCTGTTCATAATAATAATGAAATAAACCAATAACAAATAACATACAGAAACAATGTCTTTTCTTGCATATTTCATTTACTCACTGAGCTGATTTATTGCAGATTTAGAGCACTGTAACAGAGAATAGAATTTCATTCTTTTTAAGTCCACATCCCAGATAGTATAATCTGATGCAGCTCCACAAATGTCAACTTGGACCTGCTGAGGATGAAGTCCATTATATTTTTAGAGACCCTTTCATCCTGCTTTACAACCTGCAACCATTGTATCAGGTACCTCTACACCTTTTTGTAGCTGTAGCAATACACAACAGGAATTAAGAGAACACGGAATATAATTCTGTGTCTACACCAGTGTAAATCCAGTATATTCCACCCACATCAGCTCAGTCTCACTTTCTTGGTACCACTAAGGCAAGAATTATCATTTAATTCTACCAGCAGTATCATTTGAGGATAACCAGTGTTAAAGTACAGCAACTGCCTGTGTTTGTATTTGAAAAGGCACATTGGCAGAGCACTTTTAGTGGCTGTAAGTGATTAGTAACTACCGGCTTTATATCTCCTCTAAAGGATGAACCACAAACTTTGTAGTGTGTCAATGTTACCTGTAGGCACAGGCTCACTACTCAATTTATGGCAAGAAGAAAATGCCCACTACTGATTTACCAACATCAAAAACATTCCCAGTGGTCAGGCCAAACTTTGCTTAATACTTGTCTGTATTTCATATTCTGGGATTCCTGAGGCTACCCTCATGAGCAGCTCAGCCTTTAATGCCTACAGGAAAATTGCAGGTACTGCCAAAAGCTGTCTCCAGAGCATATGCCCTCCTCGCCCCTTTCCCTCAAGTAGGCAGGGCAGCTTAAGTACCCTGTTACCATACAGTAAAGGCAGTTTGGGCACTGCCAGGCTGCCTGAGGGTTGCTGGCTGCTGTTTCTGGGCTGCCCGTAGAGTTGTACAGAAGGAAAGTAGACAGATCTGGGAGGAGGCCAAGAGTGAGAGTGAGGGAGTCAGACAGGAGCACAGTCTGAGTTGGTAATTATGCTAACTATCCAAGCAATAACCCAAATTTGCTTATTTGGAGTACATTTGAATATGAGTATAAAACCTAACCACTTCTTTCTGGTTTTAAAACCCTCGGTACTACAAGTTAAAATGAAGGTAGATGAGCATACCATATCTATTGTATCAACATACTATAATTGTAGGTAAGGGCTCAGTAATATAATTAGATAAGTTAATTATTCAACTGCCAAGATTTGGGAGACCTTGCATGGAGACCAGCAGCTAATCTGAAACCATAGTATAAAATATAAGGCAACAAATGGATAGTATTTACCTTTTGAAGCTCTTATCTTTTCACTTGATTTATTACTATGCAAACAATGACATGCATATTGTTTTTATCCAGGCAAGTCCTGACACACAATTCTATGTGAAATATCGAATAC